GCTGGGCTGCTCTATAGATGTAAGTGCTGAACACGCTGGCACACCACCAACACATGCAGATCAATGTTGCACCATCTTGAGAAAGCCAATAACATTAAAAGCACTTCTATTTATTTCTGCGGCAGACAATTCATACTGGGATGCAGTAATCGTGCTTTCATGTTAATACAGATCACTAGTGCCTTTGACATGGAGGCTGTTACATTTAAGAAGCTTGTGAAGGGCCACGCCTACTCCGTCACTGGACTCAAGGAGGTCTGTCTGTGTGTAACTCTGTTGCCTTTAATACATAACCATAATGAATAATAGTAACGTATCTAAGCTGGCCATCACTCCATGTGTTATGTAGGTTGAGTTCCGTGGCAACATGGAACGCCTAATCCGAGTACGTAACCCTTGGGGTCAGGTGGAGTGGACCGGTGCCTGGAGTGACAAGTGAGTGTGCTAAAACATAATAAATGTCCCTGTGCACTAAAAAGATTTCCTAGTTTTGTTTGGTTAATGTTGTCTTTTATGAGTGTCAGACTGAATGTTTATTGCTGTCTGTTTGTCTTGTCGTGTGTAGTTCTTCTGAATGGGACGAGGTTGACCCTTCTGAACGAGAGGACCTGCATCTGCAGATGGAAGACGGGGAGTTCTGGTAAGATGTCCCAGGTGCTTTAGTACTGTATGGCAATTTTATGTATTAAAGATATTTTAAAGGACTGTTTCAACATTTTGGGGAAATTCACTTATTCACTTTCTTGCAGAGAGTTCCAAAGATCAATACCACTCTCATATCTCTCGGTTGAATATTAAAGGGGAACTCTACAAATTTTATACATCAAAGTATGTTTACAGTTCTTGGGGAGTAGATTTAAAAACCTGGTGTCGTAAATTAAGTGTTGGTTGACGCTGAAGACTTCGTTTGAAAAGAAAACAAATCTCGGGGTGTGGAGTAAGAAAGAACTGAGCACCTCTAAAGCTCACAGTTGGACACACTTTTTTTTATATTCATAATGTAACAACAACAGGTTCAGTTTTATTAGGGGATAATTTGGATTACCAAACAAGATATAACTTTTTTAATTACTGGGGTGCTGGTAGATGGACTTTGTTATCTTTGGATAGAGCCAGGACGGCTGTTTCCTCCTGTTTCCAGTCTTTAATTTCAGCTAACAGCTTTGTTTACCATATTACCATGAGAGTGGTGTTGATCTTGTCATCTAACCCTAAGCAAAAGAGAGAAAAGTGTTCTTCCCAAAATGTCAGACTATTCTTTTAGCAGCACTCAGGAATACATGCTCTTATTTAATATTGGCAAAACAATTTGAATGCTAGTGATAGCTTTGAGCTGAAACATGTTCCTTTTTGTTTTGCCCACATTAAATAAGAAAATTCTGAGTGCTGTTCTGTTTGCTTTGATCCTCATCACAACTGTGCACTTAATGCATTAAGGTGCTGTGTGTGCTGCTTCTCCTTATCAGAACTATTCTTTAATAAAGGAGGGTTCATGTTTCTGATACAAAACTTATTTTTAATTTTCCAGGATGTCCTTCAACGAATTCAAGAGGCAGTTTTCTCGGATAGAGATCTGTAACTTGACTCCTGACGCCCTGAGCGAGGACACTCTCAGCCACTGGAACACCATAAAGTTCTACGGCACGTGGAGGAGAGGCAGCACCGCTGGAGGCTGCAGGAACAATCCCAGTGAGTCCCAATCGTACACTCACAAATATACGACACTGACATACATTAGACATAGACTATGATAAAGGCTAACACAAATGCACCATCTGTGTAGACACGTTTTGGATCAACCCTCAGTACAAGATCACGTTGCTGGAGGAGGATGATGACCCAGAGGACGATGAGGTGGCGTGCAGTTTTTTAGTAGCGCTCATGCAGAAGGACCGCCGCAGATATCGGCGCCAAGGTCAGGACATGCACACCATTGGCTTTGCTCTCTATGAGGTGAGAACAGAGATCAAACATCAGTATTGTCCTTTTGTGCTTCTCATATTCTCTCTTTTTTTTTTAAAGTTTGCCTTAACTCATTTCTGTTTTCTCCCCCCTTATCCTCTGTCATGCAGATTCCAGAGGAGGTAAGTAGAGCATCGATTACTGCCACTGTTAATGGACCTAAAAATATTCAACTGCATCTCACCCTGTGTGTTGTTTCCTCCTGCCCTTAGTACAGAGGCTGCCAGAATGTCCACTTGAAGAAAAATTTCTTTTTGTCGCATTCATCTTGCGCACGCTCTGAGACCTTCATCAACCTGCGAGAGGTGAGCACGCGGCTTCGTCTGCCCCCCGGAGAATACCTCATCGTCCCCTCCACCTTTGAGCCCAGTAAGGAGGCTGACTTTGTCCTCAGAGTCTTCACCGAGAAGCAATCGGAAACAGAGTATGTGTCTTTTGCACATTATATTAATGCCAGTTTATGTATTTCTAATGTGCAGACATTTAAATCTCATGCTGACGTGTTTTTGTCCATTGCAGGGAACTGGATGATGTAATCTCTGCCGATTTAGGAGATGATGTATGTATCAGTGACATGTATCATGAAAAAAAAGATACAATAGTAGATGAATAGCAGCATAACTAGGACCTTGATTATAAACGAGTGCCTTTATATTTGTCTTTTTCTTCAGGATGAAATAACTGAAGACGACATTGATGACTCCTTTAAGTCAATGTTCGCCCAGCTAGCAGGAGAGGTAAGTTCTGAGAACAGATCCATCTTACTGTTTTGCATCTTTGCTCTCTTCTGTATTTATATTTTCAGTGGTATTTTAGATAATATTTAAGCTGAAATCATCCAAAATCACCCCAGTTTCCCTTTTCTTGTCCTCTGTGTCTTTCCAGGACATGGAGATTTCTATTCACGAGCTTAAGACCATTCTGAACAGAGTCATCTCCCGGCGTGAGTTTCTTGTTTATTTTTAGTTAACAGTTAATAGCTACTGGAAATGTTACATATTAGTAATACATCTCCCACTGCTGTATAAGATTCCACTGTAGAGTGTACACCATCCGTCTGTGTAACTGTATCGTTGTGGGCGACACTGAGTGTTTTTGCTATTTCAGACAAAGATCTGAAGACTGATGGCTTCAGCACAGACTCATGCAGGACCATGGTCAACCTGATGGACGTATCCTCTTTGAGTTATTGCGCATGAATGGCTTAAAAATGTAATTACAGTGATTTTTATTTGACACCAAAAAATCTGTGTGTTTTCACCCCTTGACACTGTGTTTACCAGAAAGATGGAAGTGCCCATTTAGGGATGGTGGAGTTTCAGATCCTCTGGAATAAGATCCGAAAGTGGCTGGTGAGGATGAATTAAATACTGTTACAGCAACATCAAATGATTCATACTCAGATTTTCTGTATTTTTATTTATATTTCTGTCTCTCAGGTCATTTTTAGAGATTTTGACCTCGACAAGTCGGGGGCCATGAGCTCATATGAGATGCGCCTTGCTGTGGAGGCGGCAGGTAGAATGCTCTGGATTATCATGTCTACAGTTATTCACTGCATGCTCACTCACAGTAGAGAAGCGTAACCCTTTCTGTTATTATTATTGTCATCCTGTGTAGGTTTTAAACTGAATAACAGACTGCACCAGGTTCTGGTAGCCCGGTATGCAGAGAACGAGATGATTGACTTTGACAACTTCATCAGCTGCTTGGTCAAGCTGGAAGCCATGTTTAGTGAGTATTGTTGTAATAAAAGATATTCTAAATGTTTACTGTTTGTTTGCAGACTGTTAAATATTAATTGTGAAACTTTAACAGGGTCTTTCAAGCAGTTCGACCAGGAGGGATCAGGAGAGGCTGAGCTTAATCTCACAGAGGTGAGTTGCGTTTTAAAGAAAATCTCAATACAATTTGTCAGTCTTTTGTATTCTCATCATCTAACTTTGTCTCATCTTTCCAGTGGCTTTACATGACAATGTGTGGTTGAAGAGAGCTGTCTTCACTGGTGCACGTTGAGCAAAGCCTGCAGAGTGCCATGAACCCGGAGAACTGAAGACCCCTCAGCCTTAGCCACTCGTTGATCCTTTTACACATCCCACCTCAGCGAACCTTAAGTAGTAAATTGCTGTAAAACGGGAAACCAAAGTCCAATAAAGCCAGGTGAATCCCAGCCGAGTTTTAGAAACTATGCAAACCTACATTATGAAGCAGTCACTGTGCCACATAGATGTGTCATCTGTTAGAACAGCATGAGTCTGAACATGACAAAAATCCCCAGCTGTAATGTGCACTGTAAGTTTATTTTAGCTTTCTACATTTTAGTTTTGCTTTCTGTGTGAGAGTCAACTGATTTACTAACAATTTCACTGCTCACATCATTTTAAAATCTCACAAAGAGCTGTTTGGCTAAGGAACATAAAACGCAGAGGAAATCTGAATAAGTCTGTTACTGTTAATGCTGTAAAAGGTGAAGTCTTATAGTTTCTCTTAATCATTCTGCAATCACTTTTCTTTTATTGCCTAAGAACAAAGATTTTTATAAGGGAATGATCACCTCAGTGTAGTTTCATGCTTGCACCTGTAGATGGCAGTACAGACCTGATGTAATGTTGATGTTTTTTTTTTAAATTTTGTGGCATTTGATACTAGCCTGTTTTTATTCAACTAATATTTGTCTTTAATTTAAGTTCAGCAGCTGAATTTTAATTTAGTTTTACTTGATAGTTTTTATTTTGCACTGAGATTTTAGGGAAGCTGCTACTGACATTGCCTCACATTACTGAGAAATGCTGTATTTCAGTCCGCTCAAGTGGCATTTACAGGGATCACGATACTAAATGCCTTTATACATGACACCATGTTAAAAAATCAGCTTTTAAGAATATGCCAGTCATGTGTTTCGTGATGTGAATGTATGTTGTGCCTTCAATAAATATTTCCCTCATGGTTCATGCTTTTCTCAGCTTGTTCAGTAGGTTTATGATAGAAGACATGACTTTGACCCACATTTGGCTACTTAAACTGAACAGAAACTCCTATGCCTTAAGGTAAAGGTTATGTTTATTGTAAGCACAGAGGGGCCTCAGTAAAATGTCAAACATGTTGAGAAAGTCTTGTGTCAATTACATACATTACATAACAGAATACTGTATAGAGACAATAACTCTGACAGTATACGCTTCTCTAAAGTTTACTGAAGACAAGAATCACATACTCCCACCCAATGTGAAACATAAAGCACAGATACCAAAAACAACAGCCGAATGATGCCTCTATTACACAAATGAACTAGCAATTGCAAGGACTTTAGAGTAATCCCCCTCCACTTTGCGTAGCTGTGTGGGTATAGGGACCCTAATCCTTGTTCCTGTAGGGTTCCCATTCTCCTCAATCAGAACAACATTGTTCGAATCAAAGCGTGGATTCATGCGCTGTCCAGGCATTTTGTGTCCAATGATTAGCGCTTTCTTCTTTTGTCCTTTGATGGCCAGCAGCACTTTGTCACCCACTTTTCCTACACCAGTCTTGTTGTAGACATGGATCACTCTTGGCGGACGGTGATAAGGTGTATTTCCAAGAGAGCTGTTGTCCACCACGCGCACTCTTGTCATCTTTTGAATGGCTGCTGCAACAGCGGATACACTGACGAGACATAGAAACCAATCAGTCAGCAGTCATGCAAACAAAGACTCACAAGTTAATCCTTAAGATCAACACTAAATTTGTGGTGATCATGTCATATGGAGACAAATACACTGCTCCATATACAGTGAGTTAAATGTGTTATAAGGTTGAATCAGGAAACTACATTGTATTATGTGGATAAAGAGAGACACACCCTTTACTGTTATAACTAGCTAATAAATGAAATAATTTGGCCTCAGTCTACATCTTTAATATTTAACCCCCACCTATTTTTGATAGCCTTCCCACACCTCTGCCCTCAAACCAGGAAAGAAGGAACTCAAACTATGACAGCATCCACTGTGACTTCACTGGTATTACTCATGTTGACTGAAAACATCAACCACCTTGCAGTGAGAATACAGACCCCATCCAGGAATGTTTATAATATGCAGGTATGTGTTTTATTTGTTATTATCAACTATAGGACACAAGATGTCTCATACTTAACTTAAAAATCTACTCTCAGTGTGTGTGTGTGTGTACTGGGGGCTTATGGTTTCCATTTCACACTTGATTGTGTTTCATGTTGGACTACTAATGGCTTTCAAACTAGTTTTGATGTCATGAAATCAGGCTGGTATATACCATGGATGTATTCAGGAGAACATCAATCCACGAATAAACGAGCACTGCCATCTAATTTCTGCTCATACATGATTTTGCACAGTGAAGGTCAAACAAATAAACACATTTTTTAACTGGAGGGGACTTGACTGAGATATGCTAAAGCATGTCACTGCTCTATTAGTGACTGTGTCAGTAACTGTTTAAATAATTAATCTTAGTTGGTTTTGCAAATGAAATTGGCCCAAATACACAACCCACACCGCTGTCGAGTCTTAACTGTCTAAAATTTGACAAAAAAGTTTCTTACCTAAAAGTCCGTTGGTGAAAAATGGACGACGACTCTACAAGGAGCCCAGTAAGTGATCTTGAAAGCAGGGGGAGAACCATAATTACAGCGAACACTGGGTCAGCTGGAAAGAGAAGTTAAATATGGTTAGCAACTAACAAGCTAAAGGGTTTGCTAACAATATCGCTAGCATTAGCTAACAATCACATGGTGGCCGGACAAGTCCTAATAACAAAGCAGAATTACTTTGGCTTGTAGTCTGTGCCCCGAAAATACACAAATTCAAGAATAATTACATTAAACGCATCAAGGTGTGAGTCTAAAACGTCTACCTTTTTGATGTTACCCTTTTATCACGCTCCATGCCAATGTCAAAAGTATGGCGTCAGCAACACGCGACCAATCAGATTTAGCCGAGCTAGCTGGTAAACACAAAATATATTAGCATATGATAAAATGTGCTCTTCGCTGCAAATAAGAAAGGTGCGCTTTGGTTTGATAAATGTTCATAAATGTGAATGGTTTGCGCTCGTAACAGTTAGAGTGCCTGGAAAAAAACGCAAAAACGGCTGCCGGTCCCAGTTAGCTTGGTTGCTAATTTCTATTACGTCATATTAACGCGCCAGGGTAAAATAGAAATATGAGTGTATAGAAGTTACACAATAAAGCCCCTACGATGATGGGGTGCAAAGATGTTTTTTTAAAACCCCATTTATTCAGTCATCATAGCATGATACAAAAGAATGAAAGAATACAATTGATAACAAGAAGAACAAGGAGTACATATATACCTTGAAATTAAAGAGAGGTTATTAAAGCATTGTAAATTACCATAGTCTTGTTGGCTTTCTGATTTGTCATTAAAAAAATTAGATTTATACTTTTAATTTCTATTATTCTATATTAAATGTTTGTTGGAAGGAAAATCGTGTTGCCAACATATAAGAGCCTGCCTGAGGAAATTAGATAATTTAAAAGGGAGTTTATTTACATCAAAATCTCATTTAAAACGAAAAACTATACTAGCAATTAAACAAAGGTTTGGAATGAAGTACCATATCCTGTCTTCATTCTTAATGCAATGTGTCATTCAGTTCAACTTGAAAATTATATTAGAGGAATGAAAATCAAGCACATTCAGGCCTCCTTGGTGTCTCTGTTTGAATAGTGAGGATTATGTTCCATATTAAATTGAAGAAGGTAGAGTCTATTTGTCAGTAAATTATTTTGTGACAACTAATACTTCTCTCTGTCTGGATACACTAAACATGACAATGCCTCAGATTTGGATCTAAGTGTCCGACCTCTAAACATGTGTGTGCTCTCTGTATGACATAGTTCTATTTACGTCACAGTCTAAACCTCTCGTCGGACTGGTTGGGTTAGCGAGAGTTGCTCAACTGGCTGACAGACACAACTGTGGAAACTGAGGCTTGTCTATCATTAACAACAGCAAGACCGTTTGACCGAGTTGCTCCGTTTGTTTAGCATTAGTGTTGCGGTCAGGGAAGGTGAACGAAATCTAAATTAAAGCGGAAATTTGTCGACAGGCGTTAGATAGCCTCCACCTGTTATCTGCTACATCGAGGAGCTAAGTTAGCTAACGTCAACGTTACGGTTGACTGCTAGCTCACATTAGCTAATTGTTTTACTTTCTGCCCCTGCTGCGTATCATAGCCGGGTAAGTTGTTTTTCTTATTCAGTAACTCTGCGTTTGTTTGTTTCTCGTGACAAACATGGCTGGTTGTTGTCTGGAGTTGCGGCAGCTAACCGTTAGCTACTTTGCCGGTAAACTTGATAATTGCTGTCAGAACAATGACGGAGTAAACACATCCCGTTACCATTAGCGGCATGCTAACTGATCAAATGCTAACGAGCTCAAACATTAAGGTTGGTAGTTTTGTGCGCGTTGTAACCTAACTCATCAAGGCAAGTTAATGGTACTGATTCTAGTATTGTTTTTTCCTAAGAGATAACTGTGCATTCATTATTATTTCATCGGCTGCGACATACGAGCCACAAGCCCCAGATTAAGTTTGCTGGTCATCATCGGGCACTTGGGTGTTTGGTTTGTTGTTGACTCATTGCCCATATTCTACTAGTCATGATCAGTAGTGGGATGTGGCAATATCTATCAAACCTTGAAAACTGTGTGGACCTCCACAGTGCTTGGCTGTGTGCTGTGGGGAGATTGCTTGTGCATAGACGCGAGGAAACTAGAAGAGATATCAGACAATGCAGCTATAGTTTAAATGTCTGTCTACATAATTCAGGACATGGTTTTGACACACCTATAGATATCCAGCTCAAGGTCAGTAATTCCTAACATATCTTCGTTATCTAACGCTTGTAATTGAGCAATGCCGAGAGAGACTCTCTTACACGGTGTTACACTGACATGGGCTTCATCATGGACTGATGACCACACACAGCTTGGCTGTGACAGTTAATGCCCTAAGTGTTTCCTTGTGCCCAGCCTATAAAGGGATAAACATGAGCTGGCTGATAGCAGTCTTAATATTTTGTCCATGGGCCTGAGTGACATTAATGATTTATGTGATGGAAGACTTTCCAAAAACAAGTATCAAGTGTCAGTGTATTATTACTGCCTCATTGATTTCTTACAAGATAAAAACATAGCACCTCACTAGCTTGACTCCTCTCCAAATGCTGAGGGTATTTCAGCTTTTCCTGTGCATAACATTTTTACATTTTGCCATGCAGAAAGCAAGAACTGGCCAATTAAGGCCGTCTTAAATTTTAGCTGCATCAATCAGTCATTTGTGGTACTTTGTAAATCACCCAAACAAATGATGGGTTGAAGAAATGCAACTCCTTAATGGGATGAAACACGCACCTCCAGTCTTTTTAAGGTAGAATCCACTCAAAGTTGTAAGATTAATTTTACACAGATAATGTAATCCTTTGGATTTAAACTGATTTAATGCTGCTGACTTTTAGATGAGTAGCTAGGTGCACTTGTGTTCTATTTAGCGTAATAGTGTTTTATCACATAGCGTCAACTTATATGTTGGTATGATCTCCTTTCTATCGCTGAATGTACAAAATGTCTGTAAAAATTGCTGACTAACAAATACTGATCATGTTCACAGGGGAAGGGACGCCAACATTTAATTTTGCTTTGAATTTCCTTTTTTCCCTACTGTTTGTAGTTACATATTTGCTGTAACGTGATTATGTAACCGCACTCTGATATCGTCATGATCTGTGATAATCAAAGCTCAGGCACTGAGCAGCTGTCAATGATTTACAGGCCAATACCAACAAGACTAATATGCGCAAATCTGCATTATCAGTCTTCAGAATTGTCAGAGAATTCATGTCAAGTATGACATTGTGAAGCAGGTTTGTAAAGCAGTCAGTATAAAGCAGGCTTGTGAATGGCCTCATAAAGGATTCAAAACAGTATTACATACAGTATTAGGCTAATACTTTGACACACTAGTACAGATTGATTACATGAACAAATGTATGTGGAAATGTGTAATTATTGTCTACATGGGCCAGGTGTTTTTGGCACCTTCCTTCTTACCTGTTCTTTGTTTCTTGTTTTCACATTGCTGATAAGTTTATCACAAGGGCTGGGTATCGGTGCATGATACCTTTAGTTATGAACCGACATAGCCGAGTACCAAGTAATAGTGAAACTTCTCAGGTCAATTGTTACCTGCACGTGATCCTTTTCTGTACCCAGACCTGGAAAATAATTACTATTTGTATGGTTTTGGTAGCAGCAAATCACTCAAGTGCTGTTCGATTTAATGCGATGTGTGATTGGCTCACTATAGCAGCGGGTGCGACCATACAGTCAGTGGTGTGGTGAAGTGTTGGCAGTTCAGCATGCTGAGATGCCACCAAAGCATTCAAGTATGGCTATGGCCTGTGGCATCTGATAGCATTTTACACAACTGAATGCTTCCATTCACATAAAGTAGAAAAAAGGTATCAAATTAAGTACTATATTGTACCGCTCTCACTTCAAGGATACTGGTATTGGTACTGGTATCATAATTTTTTTAACCCAGCCCTGTTTATCACTAACCCTTTAAAAGGTGATGAGAGAGACTTGATCAGGACACTTGTTTATCTAGAGTGACGCATCAAGGTTAAGTATGTGGTGTGTGTTGGGGAAAGAATGTGCAATCTCTCAGTCAAAGGCTTTATGTGGTGATTGTTTTTAACCAACACCTGTAAGTAGGCTATATCTGTGGCATTTTTGTTTTTGTTGGACATATAAGTGAACGTCTTAGTTGTTAGTGGAACTTTTTAAAGGTTGTTCGTGTCTCTCCTCCACAATTTGTTTCTGCTTTAACGAAATATTTAACCACATTATCATAAATAACATGTTACACTGAAGGTTTCTGGGCATTATCAAGGTTATAGAGTTGTGTAGAAGAATTGAACAAAACTGATTTACTTACTTTTAGCACCTAATGTCTGTCTCTCCTTTGTTGAATTTGGTTTTATTTAGTTGGGAAAGCAAGGTAGAGCATCTCAAGTTGGTGTTGCTTGACAACCGCTAACCTAAATTATAGCCCACAGTTTTTAAACCATTAAACAAAGTCTGCTCAAGTATTTAATCTATGAAGTTTACAGAAATGATGACTCACATACTGTAGATTTGAATGCACAAGGTCATGAATATGTGTGCTGTTGCTAATTATAGATGGAAAGCATTAGTGTTGTGCACTTTCAGATGCCAATATCTCTGCGCATTAAGGTGGAAGTGAACAGTTAAAAGGTTTGCATATTATCCGCTTATAATGAACATGCAGCTGCCTGCATGGACTTGAATGAGGCACTGTATTGTATGACATGTTCATTTTAATCGTCTCGGCAGACATTTGCATTTTATATTGTTTGTTTAACTAGAAAAAATATCTCAGTCAATTAGACAAACCACACTGTTTTTCTTGTTTAAGCTGCAGAGCAAACAGCATTCCAGATTGAGTTTCAAATGGTCAAGCATGGGATGTTCTCCCCCACTGCCTTCATCGCCTTTATGTTTATTTGTATTTTGAGAATGTGTGCTAGACTGATGGTACCATAGCAACTAGCATCAGGTGGAAAGGTGGCACAGTATTTCTGTGCCCCTGTGTCATGCACACAGCGGTGTTAGAAATTGCTCTCAGTGTTTAGAATGCTTCTTTTCCATGTCGGTTGTTACACGAAAGTGAAAAAACTATTTGATTTGTTAAAGGTATGGAATTAAAACAGATGCTGCCCCAACGTCATGTTTAGGTTGTAGCTATAGGATTTGAACACTGTTTACCATTCAGATTTAAGGTAATACTGCCTTGTTAGACTGCAGAAGCAGATAACAAATCCCAGCAGAGCTGAGAATAGATTTAACTTCGGAAAACATCAATATTGTGTTAAATGTGACGGATAATGTTTGATGTGAGTACCATGGTTTATTATGTCATTCGCGATTTCAGCTGAGATGTTCTGCCTCAGTTGTACTTAATTGCTGTCAGGAGTCATGGTTCAAATACATGTATCACATTTTTAATTGCCCTCTAAACAGACAACATGAGTCCCTTTTTTTGGATCACACATGC